TCAAAGGAATTTTTCCTACATATCCCTCAATATACTGATACTGATACTGATCGGCATAGACTAAAAAATTGGTCAGGCTAAAAATATTGCTTCAGCCAATGGGGATCAGAAATGCGTCCAGTATAGTGTAACGAGCTGATTCATCAGCTCTTCTACAGAAGCCGGAGGCGTGTTGCGCAACCACAGGCTTCGGTTAAGAATCACATGACGGTTTTCTGTACCGCAACCTCGCACTCCACGTCATTCTGTGCAGCCTGCTACCAGCAAGTCTGATTGGCTAATTCAATCATAAACTGTCATCTCAAAAGACAAACCTGCGTCAAAAGGCGCTATAAAAGCGTACAGCTGTAACATGCGTACTATTCTATTGCGCGTGGTGATAGTTAAGCCTCTAAAGGTTAGTTTTCACTGGTTATTCTACCACGTGTTTGGCGCGTGGCAAGTAGCCGGCATATATGCCGAATTTTGTCTAATTTTCAACGGAGTCGCAGTTCTTTAAATTTTTATTTACGCGAGTTATCTATTTTCACATTTGTGCAAACTTCCTAAGTTAGTCCTCGAAAGACACAAGCTACTCCATTTGACTGCAATTGCAAGATATAATTTAATGCAGAGTGATCTTATTTATGAGATTTTGGCTCACAGTTACATTGCTATTGACAGCGGTGCTTAGAAGATGAGACTGATTGAACGACCGTTTTGGGAAAGTTGACAAACGCTGCCGCATTAACTTACTGCTCGGAATCATGGTTCAGACAAACGTTTTGCAGCATATATGATTTAAAATCACTCCGGCGTTTACTAAATGCAGCCAGAAATAGTGCTTTGATAAAAAAATTCTGAAAAGATTTTAAGAGTTTTCTCATGTTATTTATTACATCACATCAATTTTCTACTAGATCCCAAGATATATGGGGATGCATAGAATGCTTTCTTACCGTGGTAAACATAGAACTATGAAGACTATGCAAAAAGATTATTGGTGGATTTTTTCCTTGTTCATAAGCAGTTATGAAAGAGAGGAAATACTCCAGACTAGCTAAACAGACTATATTATGTGGTTTCTTTCCTTTAACAGAATGTCAAGTACGGCCGCAAAATACATTGAAGCTTTCAAAGCTGCGGATAAAGATGGCAGCGGAACCTTAACCCGTGACGAACTAGCCACAGTTCTCAGGGAAAATGGAATGACGCCAGCCAAAGCCGACGTAAGTTAAAGACGCGTTTTAATCAAGCAAATAATCTAGGTTATATGATAGGTCATACTGGGAGCACATATGTTAGCTAAATGCTCAGCTGTGTATTTACTCGATATTTTGTGACTGTAGTACACAGCTTTGAGAGTTTCGGCTCATTAATGGGTCCCTCCGCAAGCTTCCTGTGCCTTCTGTTCGATACGTTAATTTATAGCTTGTTGCTTTTTACTCTCCTTGGATAGTAATCGTTAATCTGCAGGCAGCCTAAAAATTTTCATTTAAAATGACTTACTCCGAGCTGGAAATTATCTTCTGTGTAGATTAACTGTAAATCTTTTTAAAAATTGTGTTATCCAAATATTTAATGTTAAACGAAGAATTATAATAGTACACTTTTTTGCGCTTATGCAAACCATAAGACGATTTCATATGTATTGTATTTGTAGTCTTATTTTACTCCTACTAGTTACACTGCTCGGGGAAAATATGTACTTACGCTGTTCTAGTGGTCCTACTTATTTCGAGTCCAAAATTGCGTTTAAAGTAGCACATCTTCCGTTAGTGACAAGTTTATTCTATCCCTAGTTGACCAGGGTGATAATAAATGATGGTCACTCCTTAAATAGGAGAACATGAGCTCTCTGTAGTACTGAGAAAATAACTATTACCTTTCACGGGGTTGGGTATCACTAGCTGATGGCGCCTAATGAGGCAGAAAATGCCTTCCTAATGTCCTA